GAGTAAACGTTTATCCACATCCCAAAACTAAACAACTCTAAAACATAAAATCAGTATAGTTAGAAACAACTAAAGTAAACAAACAAAAATGTTTCAGCTCATCCGTGTAAACAATAACAATCAAAATTGCTTATCGAAGCTTGAAATTATGCTGAAAACACCAAAAAAAATCAGCGAAGAACATTTAATGTACATTATTTAAATGTTTATTGAACATAGCAAAAAAAGTAGCAAGGATGAATTTATAGTCCGAAACATAAAAATTTAATTTACAAATAAAGGTTTAAATACCTAGGATGTTTTGATAATTACAAACAAAAGAAATTACACTTAAACTTTTTTTGAATACAGTTTGTTTCCATACTTCATGAAACTACGAATTTTTAAACTACTTAGTAAATAGCCCACAAGGTAAATTACCTCCAGCCGCTGGCTGCACTCGTTCGTAAAACTTTTCTCTTATCTCATTAGATTGTTATCCAATAACGAAACAAACGCGTTTCCTCTTTACACGCAAAACTGACACATTTCGTTTGAACGATGTTGGTTAATAAGTTATTAATATATCTTTCAACTAACATTTTTTTATGCACAAGAGAAATTTAGTGTAGATATATAGAAAAAAGTTGACTTTGATTTTTACAAAACTTTTGTTTAGGAACTGTACCAACAGAGAAAAACTATCACAGCGATGTTAGCAATAGTATGCCACACACACACACACACATCAGTTTTGTACAAGTATTGTCTGACTTTCGTGAAACATTTCTTTTAATAAATTGTGTTATGCTACATACAAGAAATACAAACGAAAAAGCTAAGTTTTTATGGACAGTTTTGTATTTATTTTTCATAACTTATAGATAACTACTTCAATCTATCAATAAAGTCTACAACTGTTACACTGAAGACAAGTGAATACCAACAACGGGAAACAGAGATGATGGAAAGCTTCACTGTTTTGTTGCAAGACACGTTTTACTAACTTAAGTGTCACAAACCGTGAATCCCTTTCCCAAAGTGGATACACATTTTTGAATTTAATTATCATTGATTGTATGTAAAATATAACAAGAGGTTAACTCATATTAACATAATGATTCTCCAGTTGAAATAAGCCCTCCAGTGGCTTAGTGGGAAGTCTGAAGGCTCATATCGCCAAAACCGAGTTTCGATACTCATAGTGGGCACAGTACATAATAGCGCATTGTATAGTTTGTGCTTAAAAACAAAAACAGTTGTAGTAAAATTATACATTCTTTTAATGCATAGAAAGTTTATGGTGTTAGACGTTCTTTATAGCAAAGGATACTCTTTGGTGAATTGGTAGAGAGTAATCTTAATCCAGGTACGTTCATAAGATGTTTAAATGTAGAGGTTCCCATAATGGTGTAAAATACGCGAAAAGCTTTTTAAAAAAACACTCAACAATTAACGGAAGTCTTGGTGAATATTTAACGTATTCCTCTAACCAGCAGTCGGCGTTCGCGTATTGTTTACTCGCTCTTGAACTGTTTCTATAGATTTAACTTTTTATTAATAGAAACCGCTATTTTTTTTTACAACCACTGGCTCACGGGTCTGACTGGGGATACGCAGTATAAAAAGGTTGTCAACCACTGGGTTAACGTGTATATCTTACTACCCGAAAGGTACAAAATGAACTAAAAATATTTGATTTAGTTTTCATATTTCAACTGATAAGCAACTAATAATCGCAGACAATATTTGAAGGAGGCGAATTACACGAAGAAATGTATTCTACGTTCGTCAAAACACTGTACGACAATGTGTCACCCTGTAAACAAAATGATTAGCTCATAATTGGCGGTACGCGTAATGGCTAAAACAAAACTAAATCAATTTACATAAACCTAACTTTCTTAACCAATAAGAATATTTATGGAACACTATAATGCCACGCAAGTCTATGCACAATTCAAGAATGTTATTTATCCAAATTCTAAATTAAGGATGTAAGAGTTTCGAACATGGAATTTCGTGAGTTTGACGTGTATTTAAGCACATTCAATCCGTTTGAGATAATCAACATTCTTACTTCCAGTTTAATGAGCTCGGTAAATTTTCAAACGTTTATTCTTAAAGGTAAAACCACGCACTCATTGCAATTACTATACTAGCCTGGTGGTTGGGACACACGACTCGAAACCCGCGGGATCGAATCCCGTCACTGAACATGCTCGTCTCACTTACTATACCAGCCTGATGGTTGGGACACGCGACTTAAAGCCTGCCCCCCAGTGGCACAGCGGTATGTCTGCGGACTTACAACGCTAAAAACCGGGTTTCGATACCCGTGGTGGGCAGAGCACAGATAGCCCTTGTGTAGCTTTGTGCATAATTAAAAACAAACAAGCAAACAAACAAACTTAAAGCCTATGGAATCGAATCCCGTCACTGAACATGATCGTCCTTCCAGCTGTGGGACGTTATTATGTGACTCCCAATCCCACTGTTTGATTAAAGTAGCGCAGAAGTTGGCAGCGGCGTTGACTTGCTTCCTTCCCTCTAGTATATCACTTCAAAATTACGGACCGCTAGCGACTCGAAATTCACCATACAAACAAACATGGCCTGCACGTCATAGTATAATTTTTCTGACGATTTCTATTGACAATTAAAAAAATGTAAGATAGCTCACACTTTCCCATTCGCCAAAAAGAGGGGAATCCAAATAAAAATGTCTATAGATGAGATATTATCTAACCGTAACCGTCTGTAATTATTTTGCAAAAATTTCTTAATGACGCATCAATTTTTTTGTTGGGTAACAACGCGGAAAAAAGTAGTAAGGTACTCACGTGACACACAAGACTAGTAATGCGGATGTGTGACGAAACACTTGTCGGAATGAAAAATTCAGGCAATTATCTATTTTATGAACAAATTGTTCAAATATGACCAATGCAATAGTACCAGCGAGTGTCAAGATTTAAAACTGAAGAAGAAGCTAAAACCTTGATTTTATAATTGAAGCGGGAAAACTGATACTCGGTACACGTATATACTTCAATAACTTATTCCTGTTTTTTTTTGTTGTTGTTGTTTTTTAATAGCAAAACGTGATTAGCTTTCTTTTCAATCCCGCATACATTTTATTGGTTGTTTTTGGACACATAACTGCATTTCAACAGTGTTACAACATTTTAAAGAAATATGGGAAATGTATTTCTATACAATCAAGTACAACAGAAAGAAAAATTAGAAGGACTTGAAAAAAATAAAGTGGATATCCGGTTACGGTTGTGTTTTGATACATTTCTGGAAATTTTCTTTTCGCAACAATATGTCATAAAAATATTACTAATTTCATACCTAAGAAATCTCTTTTTTTGTGAATTCAAACTGCCATCCGTCAAAATAATACTAATTTACTTCAATATCACGTTACATTTGTCGGCATTAATACACAACATTTGAAATAACAAAAAAAAAAACAATATACAGTTATAAAAGGTTTCAAATAATGGTGATGTATGGTAAAACACTAATATTCCAACTTTCACAGCTTTACAAAAATAATAATAATGAATAGCAATGGGTGTCATTGTAACGCGAGTACCTATGGTGGAGATTATCAAAACACCTTTTGAGACCAAATTTATATATATTCAACTTTGATTGAACTTTTACCTAAGTAAAAGGATGAGCACATGTTTGCGACCTTTCGACATCCGAGTAACCAGAATGTCATAACTACATACAGAACATCTATACGAAAATTTAGATAAATTACCTGAACGAACATGACTAGATATATTCCTTGCCAATTATTTCTTTTTGTTCTGCCTACCGCAGGAATCAAACACCGAATTTTAGCATTGTAAAGCTTTCCCTGGCCTAACTGAATAGCTATTTCAGCTACGACAATAGTACTAATAGCTCTAAGACACACTTTATACGACGTCTACACTGTAAATTAACGAGGCGTAATTACTACTACCAGTACCAGTTTATTAAAAATAGGGAAAAGGTATTTTATTTTTTGTGTAGTTGCTACAGAACTTTACAGTTTTTATACAATTACAAATTTTACTAACCTTAGTGTTCTTAAATTATTAATAATTACTTCAAAAGTTAAAGAAATATTTTAAAATCTAAACACTTGAACTGAATGATTATGAATATATATTTCAGAGCATTCCTTTGGTGCGCTGTATAGTACTATTAAGGCACGTACACAAATTTTCTATTTTTGCTGGTGTTTTGCCAATTTTCGAACAGATCTCACTGGTATGGTTATTTCTGTAAAGTAGACCTAAATGTTTTCCATACTACCGCTAGCAATGGAAAAATAAATAAAAAATCCTTACGGTTACCAATCCATGCTATTGATAGAGCAGTTTTCAAGGCTACCCTAAGTGTTTGTCTTAGCAACAGTAAACAGTTATAAGTAATTTTATTTCTATTTTTCAAACATTAAATTTGAAGCTTAGGTAAGAAAAACTTAAGCCTTCTACATTTTTATAATTCGGATGCTCATTCATCATCGTGTTTGACAATGACAATTATTACTGATGCCAATTTTTATTGTTCAAATACTAAATTAAAAAAGTGTATATTATGCCAATAGACCTGGTAATATATTTTTTATGTTACAATATATCATAATAAACCAAATGTTTTCAACGTTTGCAAAACACTAATGACCAATAATACTTTGTTGTCATGTCAGAGTTAGTGTGCACTTATGTAATACGAGTTTAACACGCAGATAGAATTTATACCTTGATGCATTCTTATCAGCATCTTGTATATTTGAACCTTTCCACAGCCCCATTCTCTTCCAATACCAAAGAAAGAACAATACCTGTACGCTGCGCTGCACCTATGCGATACGTACCAGCCGAAGACGCGACTACCATTTTCACGAAGACCATTTGCTGACGGCGCGCACTCTAGCGTTATGGATCTCTAGTTCCACGATTACGTTATAGCTTAAAATATCGTAAGATTGTATTAAAAATCATAACACTTACAGAGGCACCTAGAACAACGAATATATGTGTTGCACCTTCCTCGTATGTTTCTTCGAGGTGTTGAAGAGATTCTTTCAGTAAAGCAATAGAACGTTCAGTAGCCTCACTTTCCGCCATTTCTGCCCACACCTTCCTAATCCGCCGACCTCCTGACGAGTGAGATGATCCTCTATGAACGACTCCCAAGTCGAGTGACTGTGCAGTTTCAGAGCTCTGTACGCACCCCATCGTGTTGTTTTCCTAGAGTAGCCAATCGTAATATGATAAACTACAGACTGGATAAACCCAAGATATGAGCACGTGCGTTTAAAACTGTAGGTAACACTATCACTTTTCTGTATTACTTATTTTCACGAAATTTGTTTTAAAGAATGCTAATCTTTTAGATTAGCGTTTTACAGTTCAGCGTAAACAGGAAATGGTGACACTTAATAGAAATGGGCTTTTAGGAACGCATCAATAATTATTGATTAAACTTACAACCTGTGACATACACAACATACAACCGACAATTTTATGGACCGTTTACTTATTGCTACTAGACTGTTCTTGTGGCCTATCGAGGGATACTTACAATTAAATAAGCTCATACAAAACCTGTTCTGTAACATACTTACTTAGAAACCGTGAACAACACAAGTCACGTAAAACAAGCAAAAAACAATGAATGTAGATCAGGACGCCTTACATGTTTATTGTACGACCTCAACCACAACAATTTCATTTTGTTTTTTTTAACCATGAAACTAGGGCGTCTTACCCTAACAAAATGAGTGCGAAATTATCTGATCATTAGTGTCTATAGTCATTAATATATATATATATATATATATATATATATAACCAGTATGTCTTAAAATGCCACCGAGAAGAAATGGAGGGCTCTCTTTACTTCATTCAGGATGTAAATTCAAGTTTACAAGCACAAATTAATGAAGCACACTAAAAGCATGTATTGATTTATACATTAATAACCTGTACATATCGAAGGATCAAAATATCTGTTAATACATATACATTTTTAAGAGTTCAGTATTGTGACTCGGAATATGGAGTGAATGCTACAGTTTCATGCAAGTTTAATTGAAGTCTTAGTTTTATAAGGTCTTTATTTTATGATTTAGGACTGTCGTTTTGGTTGTCTTTCTAATTTTCATTCTTTATAGATATACATGTTAACATTTACTTAAATGTATATCTACGTAATAATCCTTAATTGTATCTACGTTTATTTGATTTTCGAACTCCTGCAGTTTTCGACAAAACGACTAGAAACTTAGTACGTATGATTTTCATCCCCACAGAGAAATGGATAAATGTTTTTTTCGAAAGGGACAAGAGAGGGAATCAATGAGAATTTCATAGGTTTAATCTGGGTTGACTACACCAATATACTTAAAATAAATAGCAACATTTACCATTTTATGCTTTGTCAACAAGGTGTTATCCGATCGGATATCACAACTTCTATGTTTTCACAAAACGATTTATGTTTCTGTAGAACATTTTTATTCACTTTGAAATACGAGTACCAAACACTAAACCGTTACTAGGTAGTTGAGACAACTGGCTAGTATTAATTTTTGTGCCAAGACATAAAGAACTCATGTCATACATTTAAACTGACATAAATTTGTAATCTAACAGTGGAACCATTTTTATATTAATTAAGTAAACTGCTTAGAAGATTACCCACAATAATAATAATAATAACGCGACTGATACATTGTGCACACGCAATAGTACTAATCTTGTAAAGGTCAGTGCATGGCCTAGATTTGTGATATACAAAATTGTCCAATTGCGACAAACGCATAAAAACTGAAATTCATATAGATTTTTATATGGAGATTTATACAGAAGCACGATCCATCGCTAATATTGCCCCAACCAGCCACCATCTTGGATTCGAATATAGCCACCATCGAAAACCAGCATTACTCAAACTATATACGTGAAATGCACGTAGAAATGTCATCTAAATATCTAAAATTTGGCACACATGTAGATTTTCAAATGGAAATTCATTCAAAAGTAAGACTCATCGCATTTCTTTTACCAAGCAGCCGCCACCTTGGATTCCATCATGGCTACCATCTTATAACGATATAACTATAAGATTTTAATGTTGATAGAAGTATCAATTATTTAAACATGTGTTGTTTTGACCAATGAATTTGGTTTTAACACTTAAATAAATATATAAGCCATTCTAATTTTAAAACACGCTGCTAACCTTTAGTAGTTTGCTAGTGTATCCGAAAACCAACTGGACAACAGTTAAATTGTAAACGATATGGAAACAGGTGAAGTTGTTTATTTTTATTAAGTTTCACTTACGAGACTATTTCTACATTTAATTAAAATAATAAAATTATACTGAAACCTTTAAATTATACCTTAAGTACATTTAAAAGGGGACTTGGTAACATCAATGCACCAGTGAATAACTTCAGAAAGAATTGTTTTAATACATTTCCACCCAAAAGTATCACTTACAGTGAACACCGATATCGTAATTTTAAAAATTACCCATGTGCACAAATTACACATCCAGGAGTTACGAATTTCCTTTGGAGTTGCCAAAAAAGTCTCATACATTCCTGCCCACAGTAATGGCAGTGATCTTATTCCACATATTTGACAGATGTGCATCTTAATAAATATATAATATAATTGTTAGAACTGTTTGTTTCAAGACTTTTTTTGTTTGGCTACTTAAAAATTCTTCAGTGTTGTTGTTTGTTTTTTAATGTAGGAAAGATGCCTTCTGAAATTTTACTACCACGTGATGAAATGTATCAGCTGGACTCATAATGTTATTTGTACTATAAAGTGTTTTATACATTAACTAATAGTCATATTAAAACTACAGAGCTTCATACAGTAAACTAAGTTCCCTAGTCAAACTCACTGACCAGGAAAATGTGGTTTTGGATATTAAGATGATATTTCAATATAAATTAAAAACGTAGATTTACACCAATCTGATTTTCGATGGCGACCATGTCGGAATTCAGGTGTTTGAGATAAAATATTCAGCATCATATGAATATCTATATAAAAATTTATAGGCATGCCAAATTTTGGATAGTTAGATGACATTTCTATGTGCATTTGAAGCATGTAGTTGAGTAATGCTGGTTTTCGATGTCTGCCGTATTGGAATAATGGCTGGAGCAAGATCTGAGATGGTCTTGTTTGTATATGGAACTCCGTACAGAAATCTATATGTATGATAATTTTCATGCCTTTCTTCACAATTTCGAGCTTATCTGCTGGACTAATAGTTTAAAGATCATAACATATTCCAGGAACACTGGACAACTTGTTTCATGTGCGTCCAAAATTAGCGTCATTTATCGACCCGGACTAGAATAGAAAAATATAATCTAATTGTCCCTGTCATCAAACACGCATTTCCATACTTTTTCCCTAAAACCATAATTATGTTTTCGTCTCATGAAAGTATTTTCTCCATTCCAATCTTTCCAATGGAGCCTCTAGCTTTCTGGTGATCTGTAGCCTATTCTTAAATATTTTGGAAAATCACTATAACGTCTGAAATGAAAAGGACGTTCCTGAAACATGTGAATGGCAGATTCTATCTAAACGAAATGTGACGAATATTAATATCTCAGATGAGAAATATCTTACTTTTTGGTCAGTATTGAAATAGTAATCTCATGCCACATTACTCGTTGTGCTTATCTGGATTAATATAAAGATTATATATTTTCTAAAAGTAGATATAATAAAAACTGTTATTTTCAATTAAAGAGTTTTGATTAATGTTACACACACACACACATATATAGACATGTATCTGCAATTGATAAAATGGTATTCACACACATACACACATGTTCTTGGAGTGGACTAAGTTAAATTTGATAAGGATCACTTAGAATCCCTGGAGGACCAATTAGAAATTTTGTGAAGAACAGATTGGAAATTTAGGGGATTTCGGACCCTGGTTTATACATGTTTAAAGTTTGTTTTACGCATGTAGCATGTTCTTTTATAGTTTATTTTAGAGATACTTGACACTTATGTTTGCATTTTAATATGTACAAAATTACAAATGTTTGGCCAAACATTTCTGTCTTTTCCTATTATTTACAAATACAGCAGTGTCTGTCTTCAAATGTATAACCTAAAAGTTATTGCTCATTCACATACTGAATTGTTTAGTTGATCAGTTATTATATTGTTTAAATTAAATTTAGTGGCCTTCATACAATTTGTGTACATTTTTACATTATGTCTATACTAGCCAAATGTTCCCAGGACAAAAAAAAATGTTGCATACTTAGCGAGCTTCCAGTCTTCCATTTTAAATCCAAGGTGCTTTTATTATTTTATAAAACTACATGTCAATTTGACAGGAATATCACAGCTTAAACACACAAAAAGTACAAAGGAAAAATCATCAGTTGCTCAATGACTCAGGGTAAACAACATTCTAAGTCTTACCTTGTGGTGCAAGAATGTACAGATTGCTTGGGTTACCAACATACAACGGTCCATGAAAGAAACATGGAGACAACATGTTCAAGCCAACCACTTTCAGTGACTGCCCTTGAGCCTTGTTAATGAACATGGCAAAACTTAAACGGCAAACCTTCAAATTCAAAAGGAGTATCTGAAGGGATAATGGATACTTTGGTATGAGGATATCTTCACCCTTGGAACTTCCATTGAAGATTCTGGTCTCCAAAACATGAGGCAGTAGTTGTTTGATGCATAGTCTAGTGCCATTGCAAAGTTTTGGAGGATCTAAATTACGGAGAAACATTATGTGTGCACCTACTTTAATCTCCAAGTTCGGTGGATGAACACCAGGAAGTTCTAGAGAGTTTAACACCTCTATTGGATAGTGTACAGCCTGATCAGCATTAATCACAGTATCAACTGACTTGTAGCTTTTTGTTTGGCCAGGTAATTGTTTCAGTATGGAAGAATTAATTTCATTTACTGCTTCATTTTTAGGAGCAAGAATGGTTGTTTCACAAATCCATTTGTGGCTTGTGAAATGTTCCTTGACCTTGAGAAAGACCTTTACTTTTAGCTCATCTTCAGTTGTGACAATTTTTCCACAGGGGATCACTATTTGATTATCTAACCTATCAACTGAAATATGACCATTAAAATATGAAGTAAAATGTTTGAAAACTGGCCTGCTGTTCAAAAAAAAGGGACCAAGATTTGATATTGTTCTTTATGTATGCCCTTGCATCATGAATCTTTTATCTATCTTACCCAGATCTTGCTAGCCTTATGCGATCTCCTATCAAATAAATTAACTTTTATTGACTTTATTAGACCCCTTGGGCTATAAGATATTAAACATCTCTTTTTCTTTTTTGCACGCTGTGCATTTGCTTGAT